GAAAAGGCATAGACAATTGTATTTTAGAGTGTTCTTAGACTCTTAGTGACAAATTATCCATTCCTACTTTCATAGTATCAATAATTCTGAGCTTGACCGATTGAAATATGCATGCATCAATGGCAATTGTAAAAAGACATTAAGTTTGTCCAGCTAGAACTTGAAAGGAGTTAAAATTTACATGCTGTTTTTAATCTGTTATAAAATGAGGGCTTCAGTAATCTACTGGGTATGAATTTCTGTTGCTGGAATTTTAATTATTTTTCTTGAGTAACTTGCCAAGCATATTTTAATATTGATGTTGGCAGATGCAAACTTCGCAATCAAATGTGGTGGCCCAGATATCATTGTGGATGGGATAACATATGAGGCTGAAACCTCTTCTCTTGGCATATCATCATTTTTTGTAATCCATACTGAGAAATGGGCTGTTAGCAATGTGGGTTTGTTTACTAACAGAAGTAATCAACCCTACATGCAAAACACCTCGGCACTAGTGAGAAACACAAACTCACCGGAGCTTTATCAAACTTCGAGGATATCCCCTGGATCACTCAGATATTATGGCTTAGGCCTAGAGAATGGGCCTTACAAAGTTAACTTGCTTTTTGCAGAAACAGCTTTCGATGATCAAAGCAAACAAACTTGGAAGAGTCTGGGAAGACGAGTGTTTGATATTTATATTCAGGTAAAATTCCCATAAGAATTGTAAACCATTCTCCATACTGCATTTATGGATCATTTTATTCAAGTCCTCAATGTAAGATATGTTTCTAAAATTACCAATTTGCAAACTTAAGTTTTAGATTTTCAGATTTTAATCATAATCAACTGTTCTAGGGAACAATCGTGTTGAAGGATTTTGACATATTAAAAGAGGCAGGTGGGGTTGAAAGAGCAATTAATAAGAGTTTCATTGCCACTGTGACGGAGAACCATCTTGAAATTCACCTATTCTGGGCTGGTAAGGGAACTTGCTGCATACCAGAAGGAGGTGACTATGGACCATCCATTTCAGCAATCAGCGTGGTATCAAGTAAGAAATGAGATGAAATAAGAATCTTTGTTTAAAATATTAAGTCATGCCTATCTCT